TTGATAGGCACTAACTGCGCCCCTTTATTACCCAACAGTTTTTATACTCCTAAAAAGCAGAATTTATTCCAAACTTTTACAAAAAAAGAAGAAAACTTTTGCTGTGGCCTTCAATTCAATAATTAGATATATCGGCGTCGGTTTGCCAATTAACAATAGTTTCTTTCATTCATATGTCGACTCGATATATCCCAGTGAACCCTAAATTAAAGATACTGATTCTGCAACGTCTGTTTCATATTTGGATGTTTTACTGAGTATGGATGATAATTGCCATGTAGCAACTGTATGATAAATGGGATGACTTCAGCTTTTCTATCGTCAACATTCCTTATATATGTCGTAATATTCCAACATCACCTGCATATAGTGCTTTGTCTTCCAACTGATTCGAGTACAATTAATTTTTAAACCGAGGCAAACTACCGACAAATTTCGACTACCCCGTTTAAAATCAGCTTTTTGCAAATTCTACGGTCGTTATAATGATTTTGTTTATAAATACTGCATCTGTAACGGAATTTTATTTTTATTTATCTATTGAACTTTCTCTTGGGAATGTGGACTACTTTAGAAACTTTTTAGCGTTCGAAAGTCATGAGCCAATGTTTTTCAAATAATAAGTTACTCCCAACCATAAGAATAAGTAACAAATAGGAATTGAATCAGCAAAACACTTAGGATCCTATTCATTGAAAAAACAATTCTCTCTACACAGGATAACCAATAAATATTTCAAAAAGACTTTAAAATGGATCATTATCCTAAAAAGGTTTATAACTTCATTAAAAATATAGAAAAAAAAGAGAGTTTATATCAGATAAAACTATTAATTATTAACTTATTTCCGCTAGATAATCGATGATTACTGAGGCTTCACCTAAATTACTATTATCCATGCTCTTATGTCGTGAGATTAAGATACGATACTGGTTCATCACGAGAAAAGATGTTAAATAATAATCAACTTAATCAATGAAATAGATAAAAGGTTAAACAGACAATTTTGGTCAGTGTACTTTATTCCTTTTTCCACCTTTTATTTCCCAGATCCTAATATATAACGGTTCAATATAAGTAACCTGTACAATTTATAAAGCGTTATACAAGCATGCACAATCGAAAGTCAACGCTATAAGCAAAACATTTTACGCAATAAGCGATCATCAAAATATGACATGGCATGTCAATATGACGTACAGAAACGTCATATTTCATAATCTGGAATTTCCTGTTACAAAAAATGAATTCATTTAAAGCAAGACTTATCTAAGAAACTACCGTGATCTAATTGATTGCAAACTCCAAGCTTTCTTGAGTTCGAACAAATATATCACTACTTGGAGAGACACATAATGAATGAGTTGATGCATTAAATAGCTTTTTTATCCTCCACAATGGTAGTCCTTGTTTTATATTGAAAGCAATCGCACTAGAGATTTGATGATATATATCTTTTATAAAATGAAATGTGGTGTGGCTCCGTTACTGAGTAAAAAAATTTCTCGGGAATTACAAAACCAAAATAATGAACAATAAGAGAAATTAGATAAGTGCCACAGATCCAATTAATTTACTCTCTCTCTCTCTCTCTCTCTCTCTCTCTCTCTCTCTCTCTCAAAGTTATCCTAATTGACCGGAAGCAAATATATTTATACATGTTTAAGTCAATCTTTTCTCCTGCTTCAGTTTACAATTTGCCTATTTTTCTAATGACGTGTATATACATTCAGATAAACATAATTTTCCAAATCCCAAATTAACTCTTGGTTGAACCGAATCGAAATGAACACACTTAACTAAAATCTGATTTGTGCTGTCAATGGAAACTGACCAATGTTGTCAATAGTTGACCTTGAATTAAAAAATATGATCGATTCCTTCCTTTTAGTGCCCAGTAATTACATTTTACTTCAGTCTTTTCTCAATTATCGAATTAGCTTAGATACTCAACTCATCATTACTACACAAAGAAGGTTGTTTCAAAGAAGGAAGACATATACAAGGCTTCGGAAGAGAAGCTGATATAATTCATCTTCTCAAAAAAAAAAAATTGTTTGTTGATTTGCTACAAAGGTTCACAGTCCACACTGTCTCCAAATTCAGCTAAGATCTGGCCCCGGGGCCATAAATCATAGAAGAGATCACTTTTTGATCTAAGTAAAGTCTCACTTTTACAAAAAGAATTTATTGAGGAAAAGTAAGACTGGGATAAAAGTGAGCTTATCTAAGTTTTATGGCGATCCTGATGGCATCTCGTTGAATAAATTGTTTCTTCTATCACGATATGGAAAATAAATACACATTCAGAAAATTGAAAAAATCGGTTTATGTAATATCAGCTGAAATCACTGTCAGTCTACAGCTTATTATCTTTAATCGGTAGTACATGTGATTCAATAAACGCACCCTTTGCAGATAAACGACTGAGTGTTCGATGACTAGGTGGCAGAATCATACAAATGGCGACGATTCCTGGTTACAACAAGGAAAGTGAGTGATAATGGACCTATATACTTAAGATAATTGTAACAACACCACTGTGTTGACAACAATATTGACGCCGATGCATTATTATGGACATGTATCTGTATATTCTCTTCTTTCTCGACATGCGATATGTACCCTATACAATGACTAAGTTTGTCATTTTTAGGAGTAATTCTTAATTTAAAAAAATCACTTTATGTAGAATGTTTTAAATGTCATCTCCCGGTTTTTTAAAGAAAAAAATTACGCAAGTGTATTCTGGGCTAAAATAATTAAATAAATGTCAGAATTTTCGATTTCCTCCTGGTTACTATGGAAACTAAACCCAACTCTTCGGCTAGTTGTCCCCTTCACCCCCACCTCCCCGTCGTATGAAGTAAAAATGTTTTTCAAACAAAAGACTTTAGGCCTATACATATTTAATTATTTATACTGAATTTTTTAATTATTTCAAAATTTTAACAAATTTACTAGCGAGGCAGGTGACCTAAGAGGGCTGGGGGGTTGTGGCTATTTTCAGACTATATTGATCTCCTTTAGAAGAAGAGCTCCATATAAAGATATACAAAAATTATCAAATTTTAAAACTAAAATGTATGAAAATTTTTCTTCACCAAATGATATTTGACAACTTAATATATCATATCTAAAAAATTAAGTTATGTTTGATGGTTAAAAGAATCTTCAATTGGCCCAAAGTGTATATATACAGATTATAACTGGGATGTACTACTATAACTGGTCTCTATAAATGATTTCTAACCTATAAAACCAAATATTTGAGGTTACACGTAATGTCATTTTACATGAACAATCACACGTACATGTACGGAGGTTTGTGTAGTCAGTTTGTTCTACTTATTTAGCATAATGAACCAAGTACTCTTTGTATACATGTACATGCAGTTTCGTTTTCATTTTGTTTCTTCATTTTTTTTTATCTAAAAGAAATAAAAGGACAGTTTGAATGTAAATTTAATTTTACACACTTAGGAAAAGTGTATCCTCTTAAAGCTTCATGCATTCTTCATCCTTTATAAAAGCCTGATAGACAGAAAAAAGAACTGCTCTGACGTAGAACACAAGTGAAAGAAGTATATACAATATACAAAAGAAACTTTCGATAATTTAAATTGCTTAGTTTACTTTATGACCAATTAAATAAGGCAAGGTTGCAAATCCTTTGGATGAAGCTCAATGGCTTTCCCGGGGGGGTTAGAAGGCGATTATAAATAACCACTACGGTATAATGCTGAACATTCGTATGGAAGCACGATCTCTTATTTTTGGTTTGGAATCCTGGTCGGGGACATATATACAGTCGGACGTCTGCTTTGGATCAGGCAGGATTTAGTCTTTCATGTCAAATTAATGGCGACTTACACGTTTGATGCTGTTGAAGTAATTGAATGCGAGCGCCACAGCGGCCATTTGTAGATTACGTATCTCTCGGCAAGCTCAAATTCGATTGAAAAAAATTGGGACAACATGTTGTAAAATATGCTTGCGAATATCAACACTAATTCTTAATCTTAATAATCTAAAAATGTAAATATAAACTGTGTGGTAGCCAATGATTGAAAGATCAATCAAAGGAAACTATTTTAATATTGCTACCGATTGGCATCAAAAGTTGGATATATTGTTGAAAAAAAAAATTAAAATTAATTACAACCATCAGATGAATATTGGCTTTGGTGAAAAACAACAACGGAGAATCAATATTTATCTAACAAAGGTATGGTGGCAGACAAATTTTAAAACTTAATTGTTTACTGTGGGACGTGCACTCTCATTTAACACAGAAAGGCATTTTGGATGCATCTTAAGGATGTGCATTATGTTTATTTTTATAAGCATAAACACATTGCGCACAATTATTGTAATAGTGCATTGTCTTTTAATATTCCTGTCTTTTACACTGACAAAACAGTAAGATTCTTTATAAAATCGTCTTTGTTTCGACAGGAATAAATAATCCATAAGGAGGGTGAACTCACATTTATGGGAATTCTCAATCAAGAATGGAGGAGAAATTTTCGTCATAAGACCACTTTGTACATCTTAGAAATAGAGAGGAAATTTTAATATCTTAACTCATATATGGTCTAATACTTCAAACATGCAATGAGTTTTATAATCACTTGCACTATAAAGTCGGTTATATCTAGCTGTGCAAGTAAGAAATAGTGAGAGTGAAAAGGAAATAAGAATCCATTACCGAAGCAATAACTGCATAAGGGATAAAAGAAAACTTTTATTAATACTGGAAATATCATATTCAACAAAAATAGATATTCTATTGCCCAGTATGTTTAAAGTATAGTTGTATTGTTTGAAGTGATGGAGTTTTGCTGCAAAATCACTTCTTTTTACATGATGTAATTGTAATTGTATTTATGTGTTACTTGATGCTATTCAAGTTTACACGCTAACCGAGAAAAGAACCTTTTCCCCCCAGGGAGATTGTCTATCAAACATATTTGACTATGAATATAAAAGATACTTACATCAGTATATGGTAAACCACTGACAAACACTGCTTAGGTCTTTCTAAGAAATTATATATTTTTGCTTGTAATTTTCTCATCCGAGCATCTTTCCTGTGTTGGCGATAATTTAAAGGTTTCCCTAACAACGACATTCTGGGTTCCACAAATCTCTTGCTTCTTGTTCCCTTTCCCGACAGTTGGTTTATATCAATTTCGACATCCCTTCTTGTTTGATTATAACTATTGTCACTATGTTCGTCCATATCCATAAATCCAACTCGAAGGAACTTCTTCACCTCTCCTTTCGGAGAGGGCAAAGGTGAATCGGACTCACTCGGACTGTTTGGTACCCAATCCAGATAGCTGGGATCACGATAGATGTTATTCGGACCTCCTCCGCCTGCTACACTGATTGTCAGCTTGATGTTCGATTTTCTGCTCATTATCACGCCTCGCGGTTGCTGATGGTAGACAAGTAGGATATACCTTTAATACAGACACTGAAAAATAAATAAAACGTAAATACAACGGGTGAAGATAAACAAAAAACAGGTGGCAATTGGAGAAAAAGCGAACCAGAGTTTATTATGCAATTATCAATAATTACAATATTATTGCAACCACTGCAGAGTGAAATTAAAGATTTTGTCAATACTACTTTTCTAAATTACTTCGTGTTTTAGATTTGAATTTAAATGTCATCCTATGGAAAAGCACATCAGTCTTTAAATATGATTTAAAAAAAAAAAAAAAAAAAAAAAAAAAAAAAAAAAAAACTTAACATATTAAAATCTTTTCTATCACCAAGAGGCTTTCATCAGTTTTGTATACAGATCAAATGTATTACTTTTTAGGAATCTTTTGATTACCAGTATGACGGGTTAAAATCTACTACGTAATAAGAATTGTTCCTACGACTATGTTTGAAGTGAATTCTATATTTTCTTGATGTGCTGATAATTATAACACAAATATATAGAGACTATCTAAAATAAACATAATATCTAGTGCAGTAACCTCTGAGATTATATAAAATATCAATTTGCATATCAATATTTTTATGGTCGAAAGATTTTGCAACATTTTTATACAATAATTGCATTTTCCCAATACGTGACAGTAATCATAATTTGAAATCCTTTATTATACATATTAATATACTTTTGCAAAGACCTTCTTTGGCAGCAATTTTATGATTTTTTTTTTTTTTTTTGGTCAGATCTAAACATGAAAAATATTCAATGTTCTTATATATATATATATACAAGTAGTATTTAACGTGAAAATAGTAATTTCAATGAATCATCTCTGAACCGTAATAAAAACAGCTCATTTTTTGATCATTTCCATTTCATTTCGAGAAACCGTGCAACTTTGCTATGTTGGATAAAATTTCAAATTTAAATATCTTAAAAGGAATCTAATAGCCTAAATGGTGAGCTTAATTTTCCTTTTATTCGTAACAAAATAGCAGTAATATTAAATCTAAATAAATCACTTTAAGCTTTAGAATTCCTATTACTCTACATTAGGCAAATCATTCCGCTTCAAAAAGGGAGAACATTGACCCTTTTACTTAACAATTATATTGTTAGTAAGCGGTGGGTCCTCAAAATATATAAACGTGCATTTACAGCGCAAAATCAAGATTTTGACTCGTCAACCTGTTTAAAAAGTTATTTACAATACTTTGAGGGGAGTAATTAAAGAAACAATTATAGCTTCAAAGAGTCATTTTATCAATATCTCTAAATAAATGAAGAAAGTATTTTCTGAAGTTTTTTTAGTTCATTTTGTTGAAGTCAGTATTGCAGAATCCATATGCACCCAATTCCCCTATATCACAATGACAAAATTTTCCAAAAGCGTAACAAAAGTGCAAATTTAAGTCTAAAATTGCATGTTATCAAGTGTCACTTCCATTCTTTTCCTACAAAATTAATGAAATATTTTAAGATCGTAAACGATTACGAAAATCAAATTACCAGGCACTGCCAACAAAGATATAACAATAATCAAGACTATCCACGAGAAAACCCACTATATTTTACAACAAACAACTGTCTGATCAAAAAAGACAAATGTCGGATAACAATTAGGAATTGATTCTGTGTTAAGCAAAAATAGAGCTCCTTTTAAGAAAGGAAGAATAAAGTATCAGAATTCTCAGAATTCATTACAAAAAACATTCTGCACTATATTACAAAGTATTGGTGATCAAGAACGTCACACAAATGTCAGAGAAAGAATCGGGGTAATCATTAAGGAATGATTGCGTTTGAAGACTTCGTGTTTTCTGGACTTGGTAGCTGGAATGATGGCTTGGTCTAAATAGAATAAAAAGCCAGATTGTGTTACATGTTCTGTATTGTTTCCAAATCTTTCATAAGAAATATGTGCCACATTTTGAAAATTTCTCATCGAGTCTTAAGGTAATATAATAGTAATATTATCTGTTTAAGCTTTAATAATAGTACACATATTACCTTCTTCGGTAATATTGATGTCACTATTACATATTTTGGCCTCTTGTAACAACTTGAAAATTATGACTTGTTTCGAAATGATGTGATTTTGTTAGCAAGTGAAATCATAGTTGACTTTACACTGTATGGACGTATACTTAACAAAAAAAAAATACAAATCAGAAAAAAAAACCTACATTCTAGAGTTTGTCGACAGTATATCTAAATTGATGTAACACTGACCACAGCCTGCTGAATATCAATAGATTGTATGTAATCTGTTCTCTGTCCATCAGTCCATATCTCGTCGTCTCATTCTATAAATTACTGATAAAATTGCATTTAGACAGCAGCGATTTCCGACTTACTGTAGATTCTATTTACATTGCCTATAAGCTCTTTGCTTGATCTATTGATCTACATACGTGGTTTTGGCCACACTTTCCAGCGCTGCAGGTTATAAGACAATATGAGGGCAACATATGGATTTAAGACGTTACAACCAAAGCCACAAATGTCTTTCATTGACATGATGCTAGATTACACTTGACTTTAATGACAATTTCTAAATACTGTGTCATTTATTGATCAAAATATGACAAAACGTTTTTTCAGACCACAACTTGTTTAAAAGGGATTCATTTCTGATAAAGTTTTCTACAGAGAATTATGAAATTCCGAGTCTTCCCTATAGAGATTTTGAAACATAACAGTCTGGGAATTCAAGGTCAGCAAGTAAGCAACATGCTAAGTTTAAAAAATATATTCACGTCTATTTTTTGGATAAATATTTTAATAAAACCATTTGATCGATGACTGAAAGTATCTAAAGAAAATACTCATATTAAAGATAATTTCAGATTTTAAAACGCTTTCGCGCAGAGTATTCAAAGCTTATAAAAGACAAAGTACTAACGTTTTATTTACCACAGTGAATACAATTATAAATGTAGAGGTTAAATGAGGATGGAAAGGCATGTCTGTAAATATGACAAATAACTTTTCGCTCTAAGAGTTTATCCTAGTATATCTTCTCTAAGAAGAATAAAAATGTTGCAAAGAACATATCGATCTACTTCCAAGATTTCATTAAATCAATGAATGAAAACTCAAGGTTCTTAATTTCAGATATTACATTAATGAAATATGAAGATAAAAAAAAAAACAATAATCCAGTTCAAAAGTCCATTGAAACAATACAAACTGGGAGCAGAGCAAACATGGACCTCTAAAAAACATCAGAGGTGGGGTCAGGTGCCATGGAGGAGTAAGAATTAACTAAAGTATGAAAAACTATCGGGAAAAGATGGAACACGTGTTTCTGAAACCTTTATTATCTGTAACAACATGACGGTAGCATCTTAAACAATATGAAAATTAGAATCATCGATATCAAATTATCAATTAGCAATAGTTACTTTCATTCATATGTCGACTCGATATATCCTAGTGAGCATGAAATAAATATACCACAGATTCTGACACATCTGTTTCATATTTAGATATTTTACTACAAAAAGACGTTATTGGTAACCTAACAACAAAGCTTTATGATGAACGTGATGACTTCAACTTTTCAATCGTAAACTTCCCTTACTTACGTAGCAATATACTCTTAACACCTGCATATGGGGTTTATGTCTCTGAGTTGATTCGATACGCAAGAGCATGCTCTACGTATGAACAATTTCTAAAACGAGGCAAGCTATTGACAAACAAGTTGACGAAACAAGGATATCAACAGTCTCGTTTGAAGTCATCTTTTCGCAAGTTTTCGGTCGATACAATGACCTTGTCAACCTATCATTGAGTCAAATGCTGACTGACGTTTTTAATACTAATTGTTAGACCATTGATTTATACACTGAACTGTCAACGAATTTTTCCGGTTTTTGTTTCCTGATCATGAAAAGGAGCACACAGCGGGTGTGACCGGTCGGCAGGGATGCTCACTCCTCCATGGCACCTGATTCCACCTCCAAATGTTGAGGTTCGTGTTTGCTCTGCTCCAAATTTGTATCGTTTCATTGGACTTTCGAATACTGTTCGTTATCTTCATATTTCATTCAGATACTCACTTTTTTATTGGTCTAAGCACTTTTAAAGTCAACTTAATTGATATAAATACACAATATTATGTGTATTATAAATATTCACTACTTGTTGTTATACCTTTATACATGAATTCAAAAATATATACAATAGCCATAATTACCTTTTAATCTTTCGGATATATAATATTGAAAGTATATGTACATAGAGCTAATTCACCAGTTTTCTTTTGCAAATCCAAAAATATAGCTAGTTTCTCTAGTATTTTCCAAACACCTGTTTATGTACATCAGTTCCCTATTGAGTTAAAATCAGAAAAACTGAGAAAAATTATACATAAGCTCCCAATTTTTAAGTTAGCGTTGATATTCAAGCTTTTTTTTCTTACTATTATAAAGATTATTTTAAAAGACTCAAGGTGTGTTGCTTTTCCTTTATCATGTCTATACTCTCTCTCTCTCTCTCTCTCTCTCTCTCTCTCTCTCTCTATACATATATGTACTCATACATAAGATCTTAAGACAATGTTAAATTTTAAACTCTTTTCAAACAGTATCCCAAGCTTATACAAGACGAAGCACTATTGTTTTACCTATCAAAGTGAAAAAAAAATTAATTATTTAGAAGTCAAAGGACACATGAAAGGTTTTTATGGGCAACAAAATAAAAAGCATGTCTAAACAATAATGATAGGTCAACCCAGTGCAAAAAGCATGTTTCAAAATCTTTTATGACAAATAACGGTTTCGATCATCTAATTTTTCCTTTGTTTATGATCTCCAGGAAAATTGAAAATGTTGAAAATGCCATATCCTTTTATTTCCAACAGTTTCATTCAATTAATGAATAAAAATTCAAGATTATTCAATGCAGGCATTTCATTATTGACATTTACTAGTTTGATATAATATAACGAACTCTCTAAACTGAGAACATCAAAACAATTAACATTTTGCTTATT